CAATTTTCAAAAATGTGTATTAAAGGTCTTCGTAAAACCCGTTGGGCTGCAGCGGGGGTGCATTATCAGCAAGCGCCTTAAGTGGCCGGCAAAGGATCGAATTTCCTTATTGCTACGGTGCAAAGTGCAGGGCAAATATGCTTAAGTGCATAAAAATGCTTAAGCCGTATTTGTAATATCAGTATAAGTATTTTTTTTACTGTTGCATAAAGAAAGTGACACATAGCGGTTGAGTAATTAACTTTCGTCCAAACAATTTGATACGCTATCTGTTTGTCAGACAGTTACAGTGCCTTTCTGGCAAGATTAAACAGAGAACTTGTTTTGCATTACAGTGCTATTAGTAATGTGATATATTTGAAGTATGAATTCCTTATAGGTAGGCAAACAAAGTATGCGAAAATAAAAGGCAAGCAGGTTGTAAGTAAGTGCCAAGAATGTGGTCACTCAATTCTCTTTTAGCAGCATTTATACACACTACAGAAAGTGAAAATTATTTAGTGGAGTTAATTGGGGTGACAATGCAGTAATATTTGATACTTTTAATCTTACCAAAAAAAAATTTACTTAAATACCAAGAATTCGCACCGGTTTGTAAGAGAATGATATATATGAGAAGTATACATTTAGGCGGATTTAACATATGGGAAATAGTGAAGCCAAACATATAAAAATTGATATTTAAATGAACTAGTTTGTATAGCTTATGAAATTACCGCGAGTTTATAATAACTAAATTATTTTCTGAACTTTATTCGACATCCGCTAGTTGGCGATGAAGGGCGGCAGTAATAATATAGCTAATCCATAACTGTATTATATTCTGACAAAAAATTTACTTTTCAAGTTTTGACATTACGATGATTGAGAGAGTGGAGAATATTACGTTATCATTAAAAAAAGAAAGAATATGAGTTCATAAGCTATATACGCAACTATAATTTTTTTTGAAGATTCTATGAGTTATCAGTCTGAAATTCTGCACAAGTTCTTTTCCTCCTAATAAATTGATAATTTGTTGGAACCGCCGGTATCGGACAACTATAGCATATATTAGTCATACAAACTGATCGAGCAGAGTCAAGTTCTTGTATGGAAAACTTTTTTATTTGCTGAGATATCTTCACGAACTTTTGCGTGTATCTCCGAAGAAATTGTTCAGATCTGAATACTATAGTATATAGCTGTCATATAAGCTGTATGGAAATATTTTTAATTTAACTAGATATCTTCCCGAAACTTGGCCTAAATTACTCTACAAAACAATGCTACAATCTCCGAAATATACGATTGGTTTATCATTACTATTATCAAATAATCAAGTAAAAACACCTAGTTATCAACTAATAAAAAAGTATTGCCATACTCTTACAACAAAAAATAGAAGAATTAAATTAAAATTTTGTAATCAGAAGTTTTTTAAAAAGTACAGAACGAGGTAATATATGGGTTGAGGCCGCCGAAAAGATTATAACAGGTAAGGTATATCAAAAGCAATAGGCACTAAAGGTAATCGTTTGATAAATTGTGTTATATGTAAGGGTGAGTACATATGTTGTTATGCGTTGTAAACACATATTTATATAACATACATGCATGCATGCTATATACCACTGAGCATATTAGCCAGAAATTTTACTACAGCAAATCAAGTTATGATAAAAATGTGTCAACTGCCAAGCAACAAACTTTTTTTGAGACAGATTGTTGACGCTAAAGCATGACTAGCTAAAAAATAGAAAATGAAGAAGTGTCAAAATGGATAGCTAGATACCTGTACTTGACAAATTGAGCACAGTGTAGTAAGGCAGTTGTAGGTATATAAGTATAACTTACTCATATATAGTACTAAATAAGACTTGGTACACATAGTACCAACAAGAAAGTTCAAGCAGTGGCAGCATTGTAATGTCAATATTTGAGTATGTATGTTTGTATATAGAACCTAGCGCTTATTTACCTATAAATGGTACATATTCATATATTATTTGTATAATAAGTATGCAAGAGTTCTCTTATCGCAAGCGCACATTCGTACAAATATTAGGGAAGTATTAGTTCAAACTGTTTAATGTGTCTTTTTTTTAATTTTAATTCTATTGCTATCTGTGCTGATACTGTACTTGTAGTATTATTGTGTGTATTTGTTTTCTTCAAATAAACAGTTGTAGCCATTTCATATTTTTTTCGCTTTGTTAGAACTTTCCGCGCGCTTTTAGCTGCGCTTTCATAACAATTGAAACACTTGTCTGTCTCGTAAATGTCTTTTCTGTTTATTTGACTGGGTGATTTGATTGCGCTGGGCCATTTAGAGTTAGTATTTCCTCATAGTCCAATAGTACAATATAAACGCCAACGATTTGCTTATCATTTTACACTATAAGTATATTGCCGCAACAATAAAAATAAATAATATTTGTAAAACTGAAACACATAAATCTTTAGCAATGATCGATGGTATTATACTTGTATACGAGCATACATATATTTATATATATATATTATATTATATTATATATATAGGCATATAAATCGATATTTAAGGTTTATAACCTCAAATAGACATATAAAATCACCAGATATGCAACTTTCAGCGCAACTGAGGTTACGAACAAATGTTGCAAGTCTAGATTTTGCAATTAAATGGTTTTTAGTATTAACAAAGTGTTCAAAAAAATTATTTTCGAATAATTCAAAACGCATATTTACCTGTAAAAGGGTCAATTAAGGGTATATTTAAGTTTTAGAAATGAAGCAAAATTATTTTTCATCATTTAATAGTCTTAATATTTCCCTAAATATTGTTCTCTAGCAACTCTCAAAGCATTTACTCATAAAACATTTATAATAGAAGTCCGATTCAGCGACAGATCTCGTAGAAACACTTCCCAACTAGTTCTTTTCGTGAAGCACCACTCTCCAAAAACATAAATACAACATACTCGTTTGCTTGAAATATGAACAAGCACGCTTACATACGCCTTAGCCCCTTGATATTTCCACACACACCACTTGATTTCTTAAAGCAACCCTCCATCAACCTACCTGCCAACAATACCCAACTAATCTATAGATTTTACCTTTCGATTACCGCGATAACTTGCAGCTATCGTCATATATTCATTATATAATATTTGGGCTTATAATTTCTTATAAGCGCTCTATCTTTAAGCGGTTTATTTATTTACATTTCATATCTGACCGGGTCTCTACTTAAGATATGGTTTATTTGCCTTTCTTATGTGCTTTAGTTTAATCAACCGGCTTGTGGGGTTTCCAATGGCAGTTGAAAATGTTTGTGATTGTGTCACACATAAACAGATATGTATGTATGCTTATATAATATATATGGGTATGTATGTAGCATGTTTGTGCTGTTGTACAAACAAAATGCTATATACTTATACATTTGTTTAATTATTTAAACCCTTACTGTGCTGTAATAAGAGATATGCTGCATGAAAAGTACATAAGCAAGCAAAGAACAAAAGGACAGAAAAGTAGCTAAAAGTCATATGCATTTGTAAGTATGTATATATTTTATATTTAAAAAATACCATAAGGCATTTCGTATTTTTATTTACCAAGCAAATTGAAATGAAGTAAAAATTCTTATTTGTTTCTTTCGTATAAATATTTTTTTTTTCACAAATAATTTGGTGGAAAGATTATCACATGGCTTGTTGATAAGCGTATAGCGGCTTCTATGTAACTTTTTTCCAATATTTGGCAGCTAAGTTTTGAAAATATATAAAGGAAAATGGGCTAAGATAATGTATTTACGTGCATACATTCATACATACTATATGAAAAATCAATGCGTCCTCATAAGAAATTTGAATGCTGATAAACCTCAGCATGAGGTCAAGCTCTTTGGAATTAATTATGTACCATATATCACAAATGCGTGTGCTAACAGCAATTCGAGGCTATAATGAATCTCCAAACAGTAATCATTTTATAAATTATTGACCGAAATATTAAAGCAATATTTCATAAGTACTATGTATTGTAGTTCTTAGAAGTAAAGCAAGTAGTTATTTGAAGTAAAGGCTTCTGAAGGCAAATTTTGACACAGCATAGGCTTAACATTTGTTCTCGTTTATAATAACACACAGATACTTAATGGAGTATGACGAAAAGCTTCATAAATAGTTTTTAATTATATTTCAGATAATTTACCAGAGCTACGAAGAATGAACATAACAAAAAATTTAATTTTTTAGTCTCTTAAGATTTCATTAAATCTTCCAAAAACTTGAAGTCGATACGGCATACAGCTCCGGAGATTTGAGCGTGTTAGTAAGATTTTTTTAAACTATAACTTTAAAGGATTTTTTCCCAGATACGGTGAGGAATTTAATCTTAAACGGCTAAACTGATGAAATTTTCATACGACCTTCTTAGATATATTTGTGAGGTACTGAGAGAAGAAACAACATTTTTGATAATAATTTTTCACAAAAAGAATTTTTTTTTTGGAAGCCGCCTTTTTGTCAAAAATAAACATGTTGGCTAGTACTTCGGTCACTAACCGTATATTACTGATACTATAAATGCTATAAAGCGGGTGTAGATATACAAACGGAGTCGTGGTGGCCATTTGGTCGACATTTTGTTCAAATCTTAATGACATAAAATTAGCGGCATAAAAGAACATAACCCATTTCGAACAAACTTGAGTGCTTTATTGACTTACAACTGCTTAACGCTGAAAAACACAGTTTCAAAACTCTTAATAGGATCAAACTAAATAGCTTTTCTACCAAATAACTTCAGTATGTAGGAATGTAAAGCCAAGTTTTGCACGCTGTCGGCATTTTAAAAACATTTTCTAAATTTGATACAGTTAATAAAAACTGTCCAACATTTTCATATGGTTAAATACATATCTGAAAGCTTGTACTCACACAAAAGTCCGCACAATGTATGTTTATAGAATTATAAGTTTATGTCTTATATTATATAATACAAGTATATATGTTTGTGCTGAAACTTACCGTGCACCGACGATAACTTGATTTCGCGCCACATCAAATAACATTTGTGAATAATAAGTCGTATTTGGATCGTTGAAACGTTTCGAAGTCGACATTAAATCTAAAAGAAATTATATACAGAATTATTAACGGACAATTAGCGACAGAAAAACAGTTATTTGTTAAACTAAAAATTGCAGAAAAGTGCCGAAAAACAGCCATAATAATATATAATTAAGAAACTGGCGAGCTTGTTAACAATTCTTTTTTTATTTTTGTAAATATAAATATCATAATGAAACACAAAAAGATCATAAAAAAACATTTCATACATTAAATCATGTATTTTGCACTTAAATGCTGGAAGCGATTAATATCTCAATTTTTATACACAAAAAAACTAAATAAAATGCACTTATCTGAATTTTTGTGGCATTTTTATCAACATCAAAACATTTAATTAGTCTCAATGCGGTGAGAAAAGTCCGCAAAACTCAAACACATATTGCGCATATCCAATGAAAAATATTTGCAAGCACTTACTTGCATAAACAAAATGTAAAATGATAATTTTTTAATTTTAAAAACTCCAAGAAAACGAAAGTGCTTTGCAAATATTTAAAAAAGCATGCGGAAAATAAGAAAATACCTGCGCAGTGGAAAAAATATTAACGAATTAAGGCAATAAACGAAAGCGGTTGTTGCTATTGTAGTTGCTTTCCGCATTTTTGCATTTATCGCTTATTTCACTTATTTACAAACAAATTTTTATTACTTTCTTGCCAACTAAAACTTGAACTGCTTGCATTTATATGTGATAAGAGTTTTATAAAGTGTTATATAAATAAAAGTCAACATTCATATTTACCTTGATATGATATAAAACGGGAGTCATTGTCCAAAAGTTCGTAATTGGCCGCCTTATGGCGGTAAGCGTTGATGCACTGTTGCAGACAGAGTAGAACTGTCAGCAACAGCAATGTTAATAAATGTGTTAACATTTTATGGAATTTCAGGATTAGCATGCTGTAAAGTAGAAGTGGAAAAATATTATAAATAAATTATGCAAAAAGATTATTTTTATAATTAAAATAAATAATTGTTCAATATTTTTTGCGGCGATAATAATAAATTAGTTATAAATAACTGTAATTTGATGAGAAAAAATAATTATAATCAAATTGAAAATCTAAAAATCAATATACATATATAAAAATTTAATTATTTATACGCTGAACAGTGTATATTAAGGGATGCAAGAAGTTTGTAACATCCAAATTATAGAAATTATCAATAAGACAAATTGATCCGATTTAGGCATGTTCGTCTGTCTGTATATACGCGAACTAGTGCCTCTGACTTTGAGCAAAATTTTGCACATACTCTTTTTTCCACAAGAAGTTGCTTATTTGTCTGAATCGTCTATATCGGACTACTATAGCATATAGATGCCATACAAACTGGCCTATCAAAACCACGATAAAGATATTTTTATACCCTTTGAAGCTATAAGAGATACACCTGTAAAGTGTTATATTGTTTCATCCGAAACTAACGTTTTTTTTTTTGTTTTAAAATTTTTATTCTTCAAAATTTGTTACTTGAAATATTAAAAATACAGCTGATTCTTACACCTAATTATTTTTAAAAAACTTACTGATATTTTTCTGTTTTAGAACATTCAGCTTTTCAATACTAAATTCCTGGCTAAAAATAAGTTAATTAATATTACTACACAGTTAGGTAATCACTGGTAATCACTTTAGCATTTATCAATTAAATAATGTTGTTATTTATAATATCACTAAGTATTTGGTTTGAACTAAATTTGATATAAGTATTTTTTCACTATTTTTAAATATTTTGCATTTAGCTTGTTTTCTGTACAAATTCACTTGAATTAATTATAAATTGTATTTTTGCTTCACTTTTCACTTTTTGGTATAAAATTTTTTTATAATTTTTCAGCTCACTTTTGTTAATTCAATTTCTGGCAAATATACGCACTAATGACAATAAAAATGCATAGCAAATTAAACAAAGCTCGACTTCATAGAAAACTAGCTTTTCGCGCAAAACACTTCTAAACTCTGTGCTCACACGTTCACTCGCTTCGTATCGATACATGCGCGCGCATTATTTCATAGCCGACCGCTGATGGAACGAAACTGAAAACTCGAACCAAAACGAACAACTCAACAACCATCCAACAGTTCGGCGTTGCTATATTACATATGTGTGAGTGAGTAAATGTTTTATCAGTGTGTGCATGATTTACTAATGCCCTCTCGGAAAAATTTTTGATTTGGTTGTTTGCTCAAAAAATGTGAAATGAAAAAAATTGTATCTTTAAAGTATTTTTTATTTATTTGTTATACACACTGAGAAACACTGTTACGTTTCAAAAATATCGGACAAAACTTAAAAGCATAAAGGTTTACTCGTACCGTTTCTGATCACTCTGTTATTAAACAAAAACTATGAAAAATATCCAGTTGTATTTAATAAGTTCATGCCTCATTCAAGACGGTGTATGGTTATATTATATTTCTGCTTTATTATGATCGACTATATATTGAAGTCAATTGTTTGTTCGGTTCGCCACTTTTCAAGTTTTTATAATTGAAGAGCACAACTATTTTCCTACGAGGCATTAGAAACGATGCACTTTCAAGTATCTCAACAAACAAACGGGTAGACGACAGCTAAGCATATACACCCGCCTGAGAGAGCAGGCTAACCGGCTTGCAATCAGGGGAGATGTTTTCAATATTTAATGGCAACGAATGGCTTTGTTTACTTTTCTGCTGCATTTCTTCCACTTTCAATGCATTTTGAGTGTCATATTACTCTATCGCTATATATTTTCGTCGAGTTCAGCTAAAGCCGAAGCGGATCCTGGGTGTAATTCAGGCGTTGCCATATTACTAAAGTTATTGAGTGAAGTTCTAAAGAATATAAAATAGAGATATGAGGAGCTGAGTGGAATTTTGAAACAGTTAACTTTTGTAATATTTCCGTTTTGATATAAAAATAAAGCTCTATCACAGACTTTAGTGTCACAAAGACCACGAATATTTGGCTTTAAAGGAGATCTTACGAAGCGAATTTCACACCGTTATCAAGATAAACGTTGCTGGCTGTCGCCAGAGATTTTTAGGTAAATATTCCCAACCTCGTCGCTGGCATCTTGCCTTTGCCTTTGGGAGCACTTTTATCAGGGAATCTGGTATTCTTACATATAGGCAAGGCCATTAAACTCACACGTGTGATTCTTCGAGTCGTAAAAACTCTGCATGTACTCCTACATATTATATAAACGTGCGGAGAAAATATCAATTGTTGACCAGAACCTTGCCTAAGCCATGCACACACACATGGATGTTTACTCCTGTGTTGCTAGATTCAGATTGTTCGTACTATGTACACAGTAGGTACCCATTTTCAGGCATATCTATGTCTACACACGGTTGTATTTATACCATACGCTCATTTATGCATGCATGTGCGTGTGTGTGTGTATGCTCATGTCATACGTAGTGCGCAGGCGCGTTGACGTGCCTCCAGAACAAAAAGGAAATCAGAATAAACAACATTTGCTGATTGCTGATGCCTAACCGGATTAGGGACGAACATGCTAACAAAGGTCATACATGCACGGACTAGAGAGTGATGGAATACAAACGTATATATTATATACATATGTATATATGTATGTGCATGTTTGTGAGCCTTGCATTCAAAAATTAGGCCTGCATGCTTGTGGGGACACACATTGGCCAATTTTTGTGCAAAGGGCTTCAAATAAGCAAAGTATGGAATACAAATACACTTACATAACTAATTCGATATTTGATCGGAATTACAATAAAGTAAAATGACTTATTTTCAATAATTATGTGGAATAAAAGGAAAGTAGTGAAACAATACTTGCATTGGATGGTGTGGATATATTTTCAATGTGTTGGCACGTGTGCGGAAAATTGAATCGATAGGAACATTTGTACATCCTGGCCGAGGGTGGAAGCATTAAATTAGAACGCCGATATACTATATATACAAATATATATATATCAAGCAGGTTCAATATACTCAACTGACAAACAGTCAAAAGTTCTAAAATTTCAATTTCAGCACGCTACAATATAAATAAATAATAATGAGTTGATGCGTCTCCCCTTACACATAAATTTATATATGTATATAATTCCTCATACATCTAACGCAAATACATTACTGTCACCTTAATGATCCGCTGACTAGCCCTTGTGGTTTCGTTGATGATCGAATTCATGCCACATCACCCACACACAGCAGGCGTGGCGATCCTGTCGCGAGATTGAGACGATCAATTGTCCGATACCAAAACACATAGACATACAAACATACATATGTACGAGTACCAAAATTATTCAAAGTCTAACAGCAGACCAGACGACACCATGGAATAGAGACTAGTGTATAGAGATCGAGTCAAATATAAGATACTCGAGCGCTGAGTAGATCTTGACCGTGACAATGACTCGCCAGCGTACAAAACGTTCGACGCGACGAAGGCAGATGACATTGACAAATATTAAAATGCAGGCAACACACTTGAGGCACTGTGCGTGCAGGAGTTATAGGTATACAATTGTATTTACAGTACAAGTGAGTTGAGAAATCCAAACAATACAGTAGCTGTCTAACAAACAAAGACGCGACTTATAGGCACAACACAAGCTAAAGAGCCGGCTGAGCGGTGTTCAACGTTTCTACACTTTCCTTTCGTTCTTCCTGTGAAAGTCAAATTGCTTTATGTTTTTGGTGGTAATGAAAATGCTATGTAAATATACTTATATGAATGTGTACGAATGTCTAGTGTAAAGATAAACTAAGAATAATGTTCGAAAAATGCTAATTTAGAAACTACTGTCAAGGTAATAAACTTGCTTTCGAAACACTTGTGCAGCAGTTGAAAGCAGAGGGCAGAATGACCTGTTACTTGCTGCTGCACAAACGACTAGACTCACCATTTCATGGTCTTTTGACTGTTTAGTCTAGCCTAGTCTACCTGCCCGCCTGACAGACAAACGTCAGCGTTGTCTGCTACCTTTTTATTGATCTGCTCAAGTACTGTAAATGTATGCATGCATACGAATATATACGAGTACGCCGAATACATTTATGTCTGTGTGCTTCACTTTTATTGCCTCGCTTGGCTGAGCAATAATCGTAATTGCGGCGTCTTTCGTACGATTTTCTCACACTTGCATGAAAATGACCGACCGGGGAACGTCTCCAGTCCGCCAGCCTGCTACCAAACTGTAATTTTAATTTCCTGCGCAACTAAATGACGCGCCTAATAGCTGTGCGGTTAGTTAAAGGTACCAAAAACAGCTATGAAGCGTAGCTAACCGTCGATGATCGCAGAAATCTCTTGATAATGAGAAATTTAGTACCCTTTTCCTTTTCGCTTCCACATGCATGCATGTACAAAGTCTTGCTTTCTACCACCTTCAAATCGAGTTTAGCGCATTCGTAACAATTTTATTGCTACAATAAATATTTATTGCACGGCAGTAAGTGCCACAATCGACACAATCCTTTCTCTTCCACTTAGATGTGCATTTACACATTTCTCTACTGTGGCATTGTCTTTGAGTAAGTAGTGTTAATTTTGCAATTCTTGTACAAATTACGAAAATTGCCACATATTTTTCACACATTCGAAAAACAAGTATTCTTGAGCTGACCATTTATCACCTTTCTCGCCTCTACTTTTCATTGTCTTATCCCTGCTCCTACTATTTATTTTTTGTTTACTCTTTTGTCGTAGAAAACGGAAACGGAAACACTTTATACAGCGGTTAATATTTATTTTTATATAGGGACATAAATATATTTACGTTTATATATATGGATTTAATAATTAATGGCATTACTGGCAGACAGAGTGTTTTGTGTCGGGAATGAACAGCGGCAGTGGTTTGTAAACAAAATTTAAAAAAAATATATAAAAATGTCAAATAAATGACAGAATGAAC